GTAAACGTTTACTCAAATATTCAACACTTTGTGTGCTCTGCAGAACAGCATTGATCAACATAAAAAGTTCACCTTCTTGAACCATCTCATCATTATCCAGGAAATTTCAACTTAAAGTTGCTTGGATTCTATCACAAAATAAATTCGCCAGAAGTGAACGACAACCACTCAGTAAATGATATTGAAGGCCCAAATATTGTAAATTCAAATTATGCGAAAAAAATATCGAAAGAAAATCCAAGAATCTCAATCAATTGATTTGGAAACATCATATTCAAAAGAACAGAATCTCAATTTCACTTTTCAACTCCAAGATAGCTTTGTAAACTCAACATAAATTTTTAAATCATTATAGCTTAAAATGGATAATCCAGGTTTTAATTACAATCAAACACAAATAAATTATGGTTAACATTCTCAAAATAAGCCACAGAATATTTCATCTGAATATTTTATTCTTTTCCTCAATTCATTGAAAAGAAAATCTGAAATTGCTTTTTCTATTGTGATCAACATTCCATTATTTAAATATTGATAAACACAACAGTTTGATAATGAACTTATTCAGTGTCATGATTACTTGTTGTAAATGTATGAAAATTTTTGATCGCATTAAATACTAATCTTGAGTTAAATGTATCGACCAATTGAATTGTTAAAAATGAATGAGCAGATTAAAAAAGGATTAAAATGTTTCTTTTCAAATCGACATTTTTCACGCACAAAAACAATCATCTTCATCAGATTATCAATTCATGTTGAACATGATCTTCCTTCCTTATTACATCAGAAAAATGTTCATTTTTAATTCAATCAATAAAATCAGTTCTATTAACTTTTATATTAGATGTTAAATATTTACGATGAGAGTTTAATTTGTTTATCAAATTGAGTTAAAAGTATCAATATTGATTTACCATTTTGCTTTTTTTGTCTTTCCAAAATTCCAACTCCCAGAATGATTAGATTGAAAAATGAAGAATCACGTACAAGAGTAAACAGATTATATTCATTTTGTTCATCATTACCATGACTTTAATGAAATCTAATGAGTCTTCATTTGTTCTTCTTCTTTCAATTCTTGTGTTTGTCTAAACGTTTGCTCGAGATTCATTAAAAGATGAAACACTTTTCAACAAGTTTGTTTTATCTGTCAATTGCTAAGTCATGGACAAAAGACTGAAAAGGATTGAAAGGTAAAGACAAAAGAAAACAATATTTTATTGAATTGGAAACAATTGGCTCATGGAAAACAATCATTATTGATGAATGTGTTGAATGAAGGTGAAAGAAGAAAAATGAAATTCATGATATTGATGAATAAAATGATAAACCCGTTGAAAGGCAAGAAAGACCAAGAGAAGAAGGAAAAAAAAGGTGGAAATGTAATAAATTGCCTTTTTATTAGCATTTATCAAAGTCTTCTTATATCTTATTAGATTTACAGTTTCATCTTGCACCTTTACCTGTTATCCTTGAAAATTGATGAATTTGTAGACATCATGATGGTCATGATGAAGAGCCATCTCCGAGCATTACTTTGAAAGTGATATTTAATCCGTTTTGTGTCATAACCTAAACTCTGTGAAAATGATATCGCAAGCAATTTCAAATTAGTAGGTTCACTGTGATTATCTGAAACAATTACTTCTAGAATCGGTGAGAAGGAGAAAATCAATTTTGAGACAATTCCGTTGTTGAGTTTCTTACCTTGATCATCATCTGAAAAGATCTGTAAACAGAAATGTGATATTTTTCAATTTCATTTGAAACTAAGGTGAAGAGAAAAGTGGAACAAAAATAACAGGGAAAACTTTTCTTCTCAACTAAAGTAACTCGGAGAAAATGTCATCAATATTTGATTGGGGAAGAAAACAGAACATTTGAAGACAAGGAATTATCAACTTGTTATTTTCATGTTGATCCTATAAGAATAATATGTTTATTTTGGATAAAAGTTTCATCAATCACAGTAAACATGAGTCAATTTGCAGCCTCAATATCAACCTATTAATATGATAACTGATGAGTGATAAGCTCATTATACATGTGAAATAATGATGATTCAAGTTTCATTATCAGTTATGGATTAATTATAAACACGCTCATTAGAAGGCAAATTTATTATGATAATGTTTTCCCCTCAATTATCATCCGCCATCTTCACTCACCTTTTTCATCTTTTGTGAAACTCGAAATTCCATGCGCTCTCCATCCATCTCAATACCTTTACTCCCTTTGATTCTCATGCAACTATAGCAACCAGTTTTCATAAACTGAATGGTAAACTGAATCAATCGTTCATTCTCACTCTTCAACTCAACCTGTTCTTCATTTCCTTTTCCTTCTTCTTTGGATCAACTCTTTTCTTCTCTCTTCTTTTGTTTCATCGCCGCTATCTGTTGATATTATTACGAAATTGAATGTTCTGTTAATTGTTTCAATCTGTTCTCCGGATCCAGACAACCTGATGAACCTTCAACAGTAAATATGGATTCAATGGTGAGTAACTTTTATCATGATAATCTTGAATACATTAACCATGAAAAGAGTTATCTGTTGAGTTTAGTTTCGATAGTTTATGGTTCAGTAAAATATAAAAAACTGTGATTTACATGAGTATTGCATGATACAAATAAGTTTATTTTTTGCTTCTTCTTCTTCTGTTTGCTTTCTTCTTTTCATTCAACTATTTCTGGGTAAATAAAGAGACATGAAGATAAACTTTTATTCATGGGAAATAGAGATGAGTAGGTGAAGATGTTAACAAGAGTAGATGAAAAGGTTGAAAGCGGAAAAATGATGAGAATCTTTTTTTTTCGCCATTTTCATCTTCTTGAACAAACAATGGATGATGAAGGTAAATCTTGAGATACAATCTTTTATGGCCAAGGGAAGGCAAAGGATACAAAAAGATGATGAATATGAACAAGAATAACATGTGAAAATATCTCTCAATCATCTTGTATCTTCTCTTCTCATTGCTCAAGATAACGATCAAGATTATTATTAGTAGTATTGTTTCACAGGGAATGATGAGAATGATAAAGATGATTGGGAATTGCAAAGGTAATCTAACAATTTGATAACAATTGTTCAAGTGTTAGAGTAACAAGTGATTTACTCTTAAACCATCCAATGTCAAGAAACGATTTTTTATCGATTCATAATCCTCAAATTACGGAATTCCAAAAATGATAGAATTCTCGTTGAAACCACAAGTTGCAACAGAAAAATGGAAATAATTCCAAGACTAACTGATATTCACTTATATTTCACAATAAAAGTTGATTATCAGTTTACTGGGAGTTTTGCTTGGGAATCATTGCCAAGTTTTATTCAATTTATCAGAACTTATCAAAATATTCTAATCGATATTGCGAAATGACAGAATTTTATATAAAATTATTCAAATTATCGAAAATTCAACATCAAAATTCGAATTCAGAATTTTCTTATTTAGCAAATTCTGTTCGAACTTTGAGAATTTTTCGAAATTTAGATTTTGCTGAGTTCTGTAGCTGCTATCAATGTTCCTACTGGGATTTATATTAACATTTATTTCAAATTTGCTGGGAGTTTTATGCCAAGTCTTGAGTGACTTAATCTAGAGTCTGGAATTTTATGCAGAATTTTACTCAGTTTACTGGGAGTTCAATTGAGAACTTGGTGTTTTTATCGACGTTATTTCTAGTTTTATGTCGAGTTCTATTTGAGATTTTATGGCTTTACCATGTGATTTGAGATTCTCTTGAAGTTGGTGGTTATGTTTCCTCGCTCATTCCAAGTTTACTGAGAGTTGAATTGCAAGTTTGCTTTTCTTAATTAATCTGATGAAGGTTAAGTTTAATAGTCGAGTTGATGGAGTCAATTTCTCAGAGGAAATGATAACTTCATCTTGTTCATTATCATCATCTAAACCTTTCACTATTCAAGTCTCCACCAGAACTCTTTTGTATTTCATCTTCAGATGTTTCCTTCAGGGAATTTGCATCCTCATTCCCTCTAATTAAATGTTTAACAAACATTAAATTAATTTAACTGATCCAACAATTTTTATCAATCATGACAACTTCAATATATTCATATTCAGTTGAATAGTCATTTAATCCTTTAATCACTCAACTCGATTTCAGTCAAGTTTACCTTTTTTCAATTTACTCTTAAAATCATTTTACATTGAACAATAATTTTGAAAACGAAAAGATTTATAATCAAAATTAATTCATCAACAATTTAGGTTAATGAGGTTAATGTACAAAGGGAAGCAACATTTTGTGAATCAAATGCAATAAAAGGTTTCAACTGTTAATTGAGTTGAAAAGAGTGAAAATAATCAAATTGAAAATGACTTTGCGCCGTTGACTAAACATGATAGTCACAACCATTTGTTACCATTAACAGTGTCCAGACAGTAATGTTAATTAATTACAATTCCCATTGCTGGTTATTACCGTTTAAACAGACCAAATTCAAGTTCATTAAAGTTGACAATTAAACTCATTATTACTGTTCATTAGAAGCGAAACAAAAAGTAAATACAAAAGGTAAAACACTGCAAGTTGACATCATTTGCTCTTGTCAAAAAGAGTCGAGATTGTTTAACCATTTCCAAGACAATCAATTATACTTTTTTGTTCATTTACAATTTGGAGCAAAATTTTTCAGTTCCATCTCTTGTTCAGATGAAAATCAAAGTAATATCATGATTGTGAGTTAACCTTACATGAAATCAATTACCTTGTAATATAATATTGTGGGTCAACTCCATTTAAAGCGAAGAGAAATGAAACACTTGAAATGTTGTAAAAAGAAATGGTTACAACGTTCGAAGAGGTAAAATTGGACAAACAAATGGAATGAAAGGAAACAAGAAAATGATGATAATGATGATAGGAAAGTTGATTGAAAAGTTGAACAAGAAAAGGTTGAAAGTAAATGTTCACAGTCAAATCTAATTTACTTAATTTGATTAACTTTTTTCCTCTTTTTCTGCATTTCCAATGTTCATCCATTGCTACTCTTCAACATGTTTTTTACCTGCACATTCACTTTCTTTTCCTATTCTTGATCCATTATTTATTTCCTTTTCCTTTAACCTCAAGTCTTTACTCGTTAAAAGCCATGAAAAACATGATCCATGTTTTTTTATCTTTCGATTCCCTGTTTTTTTTGGCTGCTTCTCTTCTCCTGTTTGGTATGATAATCATGGTAAGCTCAATAGCAGGGTCAATAAGGTGATGGAAGAGGAAAATTGTTGAATGTTTTCCAATCAATGGAAGGTTGGATTTGCAGGGAAACTATCGACTTGCATTTCCATTAAGGCTAATGAATAATATTTACTTTTTCAATCTGTTGGATGGAATAAGAGTCAAGCCCATTGATGTTCATCTTACACAGAATTACCATATTCAAATGGAATCAAATGTGATTCCAATTGAGTACAAATTCATCCGCATTGAAAGGTATCCAACTGAATAGCAACAAGTTGACAAAAATGTTTTCCCTTTTCATTTACGGATCAACCTCAAGTAATGATTCAAATTGAATCAAAGCCGATTGAATAAAAACAATTGGCAAACCCAAATGCATTAAACCACACAATAGTAAGGTGACAATCACTCAGGTTAAGGGTTCGAACCTTGATCAAGGGAATAATTCCAAGAGTAAATAGCAAATATCGATCAACAGCTTGTATCGCCAAGTTTCAATTCAACACCCAAAACACTCGTGCAATCTCGACCATTAGGTAGCTCAATCAAGTACATAATAATTTCTGATAACGATGAAAATAGCAGCAAACATGCAATCTTCAGAATATAAATGTTACAGTTTCATGAAACTTTTCTGTGATTTGATTAGAAATGGTCTATTCAATGATTTGTCGATTAAGAAGATTGAGTCTGGTAATAGTATCCGCGACTTTTTCTTCATCAAATGAGTTCGAATGGAAACCTCCAAGCTGATTAGCCTCAGTCGTTTACTTGGAGTTTGCATCAAATCTTTTTTCATTCATCTTCATATCCCATTGCTTTATGCTACAATGAACTAGGGTTAACCTCGACCTTAGGGTTGATGTTGTGAAGGGTTGCATCTTAAGAATGACAAAACTCCTTTGAAGGGCAATGCTGGAAATGATCGACAAGTCAAAAGATTTGTTTAACCTAAATACTGATTTGGGTGATGATTTAATTAACTCAAATTAAGTGGAGTTGTTAACCTTTTTAATGACAAAGAATGTCACAGAAAGGTAAAAATTGAAAGATAAAACGAACTGAAATGATTTCATTATTCGAGCAGAGTTTAATCACGAGAAACATTATCTAAATTCCAGATTCATTGGTGAATGGTAAATATCTGATTAATAATTCTTTCCATGGAAATGTTTAATTGAATGTAATGTAAATGTTGTTAGCCTAATTATTCACGTCAATTAGAGTGAACAGAAAATCAACTCATGCTAATTTACAACTAAACATCAATGATGATTATGATAATAAGAATTGGAATCACGATGAAAAATGGTTTCCAAAGTAAAGGAGAAGCACAGAACACACAGAAAAAGCGTTTCCATTGAACTGAGTTCCAAAAAAATGAGTTGATTAATTTGTCTTTTCATGCAAAATAATTGTAAATAATTTCTCAACATTCCAATGAAAAGTTGTGAAAATGTTTTGATGGAACGCCAAATGAAATTCATTTTCATGTTTACTCTTTTCAACATGCAAGCAAAACAAGTTGAAAATTACATGACAACTGAACAAAAAGAGAGAAGCGAATGAACACAAGAAAAGAAAAGACTTTTTCTTTTGTTATCTCATGCATAATAATGATTCACAAAACGTAATAATAGCGATAATAACAATGCTAACTACTGTTGAACAAATTGTTAATCAAATAGTGTTCATTGAATTGAAGGAAACAGAAAATGTTAATCAAGTAAAAAAAGGTCAATTGAGAAAACGTAAAAAGAATGGAAAAGAAGAGCCAAAAAATTGAAAAATTTTCTAATGACTTGGATTGTAATATTTTTCACTCCCAGCCTGATGATATTTTATCGTTATCATAACATCTTTTTTTGCTTCCATGCATTTCCATCCCAAAAGAAATGAACAATTTTGAGTTTTCTCTATAAATTTCAATTCCTTTGCTCATATTTAACTCATGATTTACTCATTCCAGATTCAAGTCACCCTTTACACTGAAAAAAGCTGAACAAATAAAGCACAAAATTGAACGAACAAGAAAAATCTTTGAAATAACTTTTCTCTCTCTTGACTGACGGTGAAACAGTTCATTGATGGTGAAATTTGTATTCACCAGAACATCAACATTTATTGTTCCAAGTGCAGTTCATCTTGATCATCATGATTCTAATCAGAAGTTTTTTTTCCATCACAATTTTCATCTTTTTCCTTTCCTGTTTCACTGATGACAAAAAGAAGTTGGAATTTTTAGCTTTTTTTCTTCTTCCAAGTCCAACTAATTATTGTGGCAGAAAACAGATTGAACCAATTTATATTCATTAATAACCTGTTCACCTGATTCATGACAATTCTCATGAGGAAATTGTAGAGAAATGTTGATCCTCGAAACAGAAAAAGTAACGAGTTTTAACCATTTAAATGGTGATTAGGAAAATAAATTAGTTTTTCAACTTTTTCTTCTTCTTCTTCTTTCCAATCTAATTGTTCAAACAAAAAGTGTAAAATGTTAATACAATTAGCGATTCTAATGGAAGGTTGAAAAGTGTCTTACCTTGATTAATGGTTAAAACTCATGTTTGTTTTGTTTTTTGGTTATCAGTTTATTTTGATGATTTAATTAAATTGAGATGATAATTACATATTTTCACTTGTTTTGTTTTCGACCTCGTTTTTGGGTGACTTTGAATACACCCAAAGATGCCAACAAGAGTAATTAACTCACCTTTTTTCCTCTTTTTCCTCATCTTCCAACATTCTTCTTCTTCCTTCGAACCCTTTTCAGTCCAACAAATGGAGCAAACTTTCAATTGACTCACCTAATTATACTAATTGGTTAATGGTACATAAGCAAGTAATAATAGCATGAAAAAGAAGATTAATTTACAATTTTTTTTCTCTTCTTTTTCTTTCTTCTTTTCCAAATCAAAGATTCTGCTTATTACATCTGTATTGTTCATCTAATTCAGGATAAATTCATCTGAAGAGTTGTTGGTTTACCCAATTAAACAAGTCAAATTAAATGACAAATTAAATTCGAAGGAAAACTTCGTAAATCAAAAGACGCTCTTTGCGTTCTTTCAGTTAATCAATTTAAGTGTAAAACTTGAACAATTACTAGAATCGATTGAAATCCATTTCGAATAATGAATTTTGCACAAATCTTTGATCAGACTTCAGCTGGAAAAAGCTATTCCTATGGATTTTCCAATTTCAGCTTTTCTTCTGTTTTTGAATTCTTTTTGCAGAGAAATTTTCAATCGAATCTCAAGAAAATTTTCTGCTCATGTTTAAGGAAAATTTGCATTCAACTTTGCAGGTTGAAATGAAGTTGTTGGTGGATTCAGTTTTCATCTTATTTTTAGTTGAATCATAAAAGAGTTTCGATATTAAAATTAAATTCTGAGTGGCTATTATTGTGATTCGGACTGACAATTGGAAGAGATAAAATGATAAACTTTCTTCTCTTTACAATTCATTATGGATTAACTCAATTGGAATCACCAGGTTTTCCATCTGATCTTGTTGTTGAAAGAATCACAATTTTCATGATATTCCCTTCTTATCATGTCCAACCGAGTGTCTCTTGAGAAGAAGCAAGTTGCCTTTTTACCTTCATATGTTATCGTTTAAACATTGATAACATTGATGAATAGAGTTCATTGCCACTTGAACCATTCAAAACTTATTCAGCTGATACTCTGTAAGTAGTTTTTCATGGTTAATGAGGTTTCCAGGATCATTTCTTTTCTCCTTTTCCAACTTTCCTTTCAACTGAATGTTCATTTATCTCAACAAAACATTTTCATCTTTCATCTTTCAACCAGCAATAATCATTTCAACTAAACAAAACTCCATCATAATCAAAGATGATGAAAAAAGAAAATGTCATAAATTTAATTCTCTTTTACCCAAATTTTCATTCAGTTCAATTTTTCTATTAAAATATTATTATTAATGTAAAACCAACTTTGCTTCTTCCTTTCAATTCTTTTGCTGCCTCACAGTTTGAATCGAGATATGAATCAGTCCATTCATCAATAGAAGCCATCAAATGTGGTAAGTTAATTGTTTTTAACTTTAGTTGCAAAACTGCAATCCAAAGATAAATATCACTCCGTGAAAGATGATTAACCTTAATTTCAATAGTTTCCTCTAGTTAGTGTTGATTCGTCATTTCAGTTATTCAAAAATCGTTTCCTTATTCAATCACGCAAGAAGCTCAAAACGAACGAACATAAAACGAAGCGTTTTCATCGTAACCCAAAAACCCAAAACTTTAGAGACTGCCATCGAAAAAGAACGTGAAAGATCAAGTTCTAAGATATTCTTTGTGGTGAAATGAATCTTTCAAAAAGCCTGTTCATCCGCAACTTAGATCATAGCAATTTAGCAAAATAAGCGTAAAATAAGCAAAGATGCAAATGGGTTTAGCAACTTGCGACAATGATTAAAGAAATACTTGCAATCGAATCAGTTTTCATGTCGATCTTGAACTGCAAAGTTTAAGTATCAATTGCTTTGAATACTTTTGAACAACTTTGATCGGGAAAAGGTTAGAAATCCTTCAGGAAAGTTATTTTATGAAGCTCTTTTTGAAGTTTTCGTCTATTGAGATCAATTGATTGCTTGGCAATAAATTTTAAGGTTAATTGTTTGGAAATCGTTTTAATAGAATGGTTATTCCATCAAAAGGCTATTATTTTGCTTAAGTTTATCATTAATTAGTTCATAAATCTCGTGCAATTTGATCAAAAGTATTCAATAAGTAGCACAATTGGTTTGAGCCACAAATGATGTCAACTCATAAAGGCATAAATGATGGTTTTTCACTTTAACTTGAGACTTTTAGAGCTAAAAGAGTTGATCGTCTAATGATTAAGTCTTGTGTCAACTTTAGATCCTTCAAGTTACTATTCGACAGGTTGACTTGATAATAATGGGTGAACATTACCAAGTTACACAGAATACTTTCCATGAGCGAAATGTGAAACTTGGAATTGTCTTTGAATGAACATTCCATAAAGAAGATCAGATTTCAAATTGCAATCCATCAAAGTAATTCATTAAAAGATTTCATTTTACGCCCATTAAAACTACATCAAAAGAAAGATTCAATTCAACTGCAAATTATTAGATTACAATTCATTTCTAGCCAAACTCGAACTTCAACTTCTAAATAATTAAGTTGATGAAGCAAAAGACTTTTGCATTTCAATGTTCATGTAGCACTTGAATGTGCAATGGAAAGTAATGAAAGCGTTGAAACTCAGTTGAAAATTGTCAAAAATTGACCTTTTTTGTCACTTTTACTTAACTTTTGAATAAAGTTACTTTTTGTTATTTTTTACTTTTGATTCAGTCTTAAGCATAAAATATTTATTCATTTTATAAATTCATGAATATTACATTGTTAATGTTTTGTTATCATTGCAAACAAAGAGTCCTAAAGTCACGTTTCGAGTTTCATTTCTTTTTCTTTCTTTAAGCGCTTTTCGCTTTCAAACAGATACCTTTCCATTTAGAAGGTTAAACCATGATATTTTCAATTTTTCATTCACATTTATCATGCATCCGTAAACATTTGAATATTTCATAATCTTTTCTCCTTTTCCTGAGAGTTTTCCTGAAATGCAAAGGTAAATGTAAACTCTGCAAAGTCATCAATATTATAACAAAATCTTTAAAGTTGCAAGAAACTCGCATCAATATAAAGCTGATGGGCAATTATTAGCGCACTGCAAGTCACATTCACTAAACTTATTTTTCCTCAGAATATTAATTAAAGAGTTTCTACAAAACATTATCGTGTTACTTCGAGTCAATACCGACATTGCATATCACTAGCACATAGCATTAAGTTTTGCATTCAATAACTAATTGATGATATTATGAGCTTAATGGAACTCGAATAAAAAGCATTTCCAACTCATTTTAAAATCAAAAGTAACTTTCAAAGTGTCTCCTTCAGACTCTTTTCACTTAAAAGCATTCTAAGAGCAAATGAACATTTCGTCGTTTATTTACCTGAACGTTACTCTTACAAAATTCATTCAAAATTAAACAATTTGGATTGAAATCTTGTCCAAAAATATGGTTAAAATAAGTGAAAAAGCGTTTAAAGAATCAATTTTTTCCATTAATAATGCAAAACAATCTCATGAGAACTATCAAATTAAAAGGAAATTCAGTCTTAAAAGCACAACTTTATTCGAACAATTAAGTGATTAATATTTCGACTTATGAAGTTTTCAAATTATTTCCTTAAGTGCATATAATCACTCATTCCATTGATTTATTAATTGCAAAGGTAAAGTTATTTTCTGCACAAAAATTTATATTCCAAAATTAATTGTCCGTGTTTTGATGATGATGATGAGTAAAGACAAAAGCCATGTTAATCTTGAATTGAGGATGAAGAACTTATTTTTTCATGAAAAAACATTTTGTTCAACAAAAGAAGAGGAAAAAGTACGAGTAAAGCGCTTAAGCTTTTCCAAATAATGAATGTAAAGCGATTATTTTTGCTACAGATAATTGGCTCAGAATTTACTCAGTTTTTTTCATTCTTATCATTAATGTTACTTTCTCGACTAGTTTTGATGATAAAAATGATGATATTCGGGAACTGTGAGAATTCCTGTGAGAAATGAAAACTGTGAAGAGAATAAAAAGAGATCGAAAGAAGATGGTGAAGAGGAAGATGAATAAAAAAAGTTGTCAGGTTTGTTACTCATCTTATTGACAGGTTGGAGTGATCACTCTCAAGAGATTATGGAATGAAAATGATGATATCAATGTGTTCATTGGTATAAATATAATGCTGGATATAAATGTTTAGGTGAATATGAATAATAGTGGATTGAGTTGAAACTCGTAAAATCCATTTAATAAGTGAAGCAAAAAGAAGCAGAAAAAAAGTGAAAACACTTTTCAGGTAAAGTCAACTGCAATTTTTGTAATTGAATTTTCAAAAAAAAGAAATGTTTTCCTGGAAAAAAGGTGAAACATTATCATTGATGAAACCAGAAGTCGACTTGAAGATGTAAAGTGAAAAGATTTTCGTCTTTTCTTGTGATTTCCAAAGTTTTAATAAGTTGATTAACAATTGGTTTGGTTTGAATGTTAACATTGATCACTGTAAAGGTACAATTTGTTCTTGGAGGTGAACAATTTGTCAGTTTATCGTGAAACGTGCAATTTAGCTCAAGGGTTAAAGGGAAGGTTGAAATTGTCAAATTGCAAATTGTGATTGAAGGTGATACTCGGTAAAGCAACAGCTTGTTTCATCAGGTTTCATTATTGTCTGCCTCTGATTTCCTGTGATACTGTTGAATACCCGCCGGGTAATCAAACATCTTCTTCTTCTTCAGATTGATTTATCTTCTCCTCATTTGTCCTTTACATTTTTTCTTCTTCTTCTTCTATTTGCTTTCTTTCTTCCTCTTTGCCAAACTTTCATTGCACTGTTTACCAACAGAATTGATCAAATAATCTTTCATTTCAACTGAAAGTCAATTCGAGGCCATTTTCATCTTCTTCCTCGTCTTCCTTCTCATCAACCTTTCATCTACAAGAGACAAAAAACAGTTCATTTATTTGGCCTTTTCATTTTACTCTGTTGTCCATTCAATAATGAAACAACATAAGAGTAAATAAATATTTTCAGAAACAATTTTCTCCATTTTCTTGACTCAATTGGTTATCCAATTTAAACAACAAACTTAACATAATATTGAATACACAAAACAATTTCCAGGATCCATTCAAAATCTTTCAACTCTTCAATTCCAAAGTTAGAGTTTCGAGATTTTCGAGAATTTGGATTTTCGAAAACTAAAACTAAAACATTCATGAAGTTATTTTATTGTGAATAAAGAGTTGATATTCTGGGTGGAAAATGTGAAAAGAAATTAACTCGAATCATGAATTTAGGGTAAACTCAGTGAATCTCGAATAGCTGTTTACCTCTGAAAAGATAATCAAGCTTTTGATTCCCCTGTTGGAATGGAAACAAATTGGTAAAGAAATTTTAATAACTTTTATCATGTTAACACAATAATTTGATAATTTTATGAGAAAATATGATTAAACAAAAAAGCAAACAAACGATCAACTTTTGCTTCTCCTCATATGATAAAAAGTATAAACTTTTACTCTTTTTTGTTCTGTTCCCATGATAATCATGATACACTGAAAAGTTGCGACTTTTTGTTTCCTCATGAAATGATAAGAAGATAATAATTCTCTGTTGTTTTGTTTTCCAATTTGTTGACACTAAAAGAAAAACATTTTCTTGTTCCTTCCCTGTTCATCTGATACTCTTTGCTGTCTCTCGGGAAAGTTTTAGTTTAATCAAACAATTTGCGCTCCATTCAATCCTGTAAGACCATGAATATCCATTGACTTGGTAAATGATAACATGGAAAACAGAAAAGGGTTGAAAGAGAAAAAGATTAACAAAGATAATAAATTGAATGGTAAAACTGTTCTGAAGAAAAGGTTCAAATGAAGCGGAAATATGAACTCGAAACAGGAAAATGTTAACATCCAACTGAGTCGCTTTCAAATGGAAATTCAATTATTCAGTCAAAATAATCAAATTGAAAGTTGAATAAAGTTCAATCAATTAATAATCAATGTCAAAACATTTAATCACCAAATTCAATGAAACCAGAAAACTCCAATTCTAACCAAACTGGGAATCAAGATTATCATAAATGCATTATAAGTTTCAAAACATGAAAATGCATTTAAATTTACCTTTCAAAGTTCGTTGAAAGATTTCTCTTCAATCGAACAGTTGAAAAGGTTCAACATCCAACAAAATTTTGCTTCAACTAAAAGAACTTGAAAATTCCTTGAGAATTGAGCGAAACCGAGTTCTAAGCTGGGAGTGAAAACTGGGAAGCTCTTTGTGATAACCCATTTAATAAGTGAATAAGTAGCCAAAGTGACTTTGAAGGAAAAGTAGTTTTTTCATTTATTTTCAATCTAAAGTTTTATTTAATTTAAACCATTTAATCAAATGTTGTAATCATTATTAGATTGTGACAGTTAATTTGTTAGCCTCAAGGATACAAGGTCAATATAAAGTTAAGAAAATATCTCAAGGCTAACATTTTATTTCATGTAATATTTCAATTAATCAGTTCAATTGATGAACAACAATGAAACAAACGAAGCTAATTTCATTGATCATTACTCTATTACTTTTGTCAGGTTGAGAGTAAAAAATGTTTTCATCGGTAAATCCCTGTTTCCATTAAGTAATTATTATTGATGGAAATTGCATTTTCACATTTCATTGATTCACTTTGACGCCACTTCACATATTGAATAATGATTACAGATTATTTTCATTTATGTTCATTTTTTTGGTTCAACTTTACCTTCGTCTTAATCATTGAAAGATTTTCAATCAATCATAAAGCAAACAAGTTTGTTGAAAATTTGTTAATACCCTTAAGGGTAAGTTGATGATGATAAAGAGAAGCGAATATTGAGAGAAGCGTAAAATTGCTCTTTCTTCATCTTCGCTGATTATCTGTACATGAAATGTGCATTTGATTTGATGCTCAAAAAGGCAAAGTGTCAGTTTAACTGAACCTTTTCTCTACTTTTATCGTTTTTTGCCTTTCAAATGAAAATGATTCAGACTCTTTGATCATCAAAAAGGTGAAACAAAATGTAGATTTGTTTAATGGATAACGAAATGAGACTTTTGTTTTGCAATTTTTGTCAATCTAAAGCTTGATGTCCATCTGATTGGCAAAGTTTCATGTTTTACCAAAAGTAAAGATTACAGTTTAAAGATGATGTGATTTACAGAATCGGGTTGATTGAGAAACGAAATTGAGTTAAGACAGAAAAACAATTGTCTCGATCAAGTATCGATGTATACATTTTCATGCAAAAACAAACATGGAAATTCTTCTTCCATTTTCCATTCGAATTACACAGAAAACTCAATCAGATCAACTCAAAATTCAGTTGCATTAAACTGAGAAGTTACAGAGTTTTCCAAAATTTCTGTTTCCATCGTTGGATAAAATCTTAAAATCTCAATATTCATAAAATGAAGACTTTAGTTGCTGATTTATTTTCATTTCAACGCTTCAATCTTTAAGCATTTGCTTGAGCTGCAATTATGAACAAAGTGATTCAGTCATGTTCTGATGAAGAATTTGAATCGATGCAATTGAAAGTGAAAATATCAAAATTAGATTCTTAATCAATCTCTTTCTTGACAAAGTCGTGAATGAACCAGAAAATGAGTTTATAAGGTAAAGTTTCTCTTGTCGATTGAATGTAAATCATCCAAATATATTCATTTAATCATTATTAGACCTTTTCAGGTTAAAGTTGATTCACTATTAATCAATGGGAAAACATAAGGCAAGTCATTAATATTTGATGATGTAAAGCAAGAGAAACAAAAGCAAACAAATTGGTTAAATGCATTAATAAATTAACTGTGATTGTTTTCAATCACTTCCCTGGTCAACCCACTTGACCCAAAGTATACATTATCACCACCATCGACTAAACTGAATCTAATTTTGACTAATTAATTCATGTTTCAAATGAACATTACAAAGATTAACTGTCAACACACAAAAGCGAAAAAAACGAGAAAAAAAAATCTTTTGTTTTAAAGTAAAGCAGAAAAAATCAAGTTGATTAATACTGTTGATTATAATTGAAGATATTGAAAGTCTAAGCTCAGTGCAAGTCTATTCCTGATCCCTGAAGAGACTTGCCATGTTAACTCATTTTTCATGTGAAAACAAGAGTAAAATAGAGACTTATCATTAGATTGAAAATTCATTCCCAGACAATTTTGCTGTCAACAATTTATTCATTCACTATCTCATGTTATGATTAAATTATGTTAAAAATAAAGTTAAAGAGTTGATGATATTCATAATAATAGAGAGAGGAAAAAAGAAGAGAAAAAAATGAACATTCAGAATATAATGGAATATGTTAACTTTGCTCAATTATTATGATTACCATTATTATTAATATAATAAAGCGATCTGCGCTTTTTTGTTTAACCATCATTTAGTTGAATGAATGGGAAACTTGAATGATAAATTAAATTATAGTAACAATCTTTTGCGGATCAAATATGAGAAAAATGTTGGACTAAGAAAATGAATATTAAATCTTTTCAACAGTTCATTTATCACGTTTCCAACAATCAATAGCATTGTTCATATTCAAAGGTAACATTCATGTTTCTTGTACTTTTTTTCTCTTCCTTTCATCTTATTCTTTCACAGATTCTTGATAACCTTTCATGAACAGCTTAGAAGGCTTAGATTCATCAGAAGGCATTAAAATTCCATCATTCGCATCTTCTTTGATTCTTTTACTCTACCTTTTACTCAACTGTCCGTTTTTCATGTCAAAATGTCTCAATTGAAAGTCAGGAGATTCTTAGATTTATCAGATTTATCGCCATTTCCATCTAATCATCTTTCACCCCAACTCAATTGGAATCAATTTAAAACGCTTCTTTTCATCTTTTCCAGGTTTACTTCAATCAACTCAGAATTTATTTTGAATATTTTTTCATGATGTTCATTGGAATGAACTGGATCCACAGATCAGGTATGCAAATATTTCAATCATTTTCCATTCTATTCTTGAGAAATTTTTTTGTTCCATTTTTTCGATATTCGATTCAAGAACTGTCCAGTTCTATTCAAATGTTTCTAAATATTTCCTTATTTTGCTTAAACTTCATTAAATAGATTCGGAAAGTTGCATCAATTGAAAATTGTAAACAAATAATCAACTCAAGAGTTCTCGTTGAGACAAATATTTTGTTAATAACTTTGCATAAAAAATTGAAACTTGATTTTTGAAAAAAATGAACTTTTATTGATAAAATTACGATATTGAATTTGCGTTAATTTCATGATTTCAGGCCTAGAGACTCGACGATGAGAAATTGTGATTTTTCATTTTATCTGTTTTTACTTTTCTAAACTGCTTCGACTAAAAAGCCTTTATCTAAAAGGGTTTCGATCCTGAACACTTCACCTTGTTGCAAGAATTCAGATTGTTTCTTGTTTTTGGAAATTTCAGGCTTGAATTTTCATTCTCAAGGTGTTCTATCAAGAATTACTTGGAGTGTTAAACTGGGAGTTGCACGAGCTAAAACACATGGATAAGGATTGAGTTCAGGAGAATAAAAAAAACCGATGAATGATTGATTGTATTGCAATTTGACATTCTTTGTTTTAAAGCTAAAAATTTATTCATGTGTTCATGTTGAGATAATTTTTTCTCAAGCATTTAGGCAAACTGTGAGTTAACCAATGAACCAATTATCGCGTTTGAAGAAGGTTTGTTTGTCCCAAAAATATAGAAGTTTCATTTCATCAGATAATCCCAAACATTTTGTGATCATTTGATAATAGGCAAGTGATTCCAGGATAAACAATAATCTTGCTCTTGTTTCATAATAATTTCATGTTAAACAATGATAATCATGGAAGGAATAAAATGAAGGAAAAGGGATTTAATAAGATTGTACAATAAACATGCACTTTTCTGTTGGTATTGTATGTTGAGCAAAGGATTGGGCTTAAGATGATGATAATAGCTGAATGAAAAGAGGACAAGATTGGACAATGATAAAAGATGAGCATAAAAATGGACTCTTTTCGTACGTGATGAGCACAGTTTATGGATTAAGTGCCATAAGTGTAAGAAGCTGATTTGACAAAAGATGAGATAATGAAAGTAAAAACATTTCGAGTTTTGTTTTCTTTTGGAGAAAAGACAATTTTTTCTATTCAATATTGAAATTCACTGAAATTAATTGATTTCTGCTTTTGAATGTTCAGTTGCTTTTGAACCATTTGCTTCACTTTGAACAGTTTCATTGGCCATTAAAATCGAAGGCAATATTTTAGGGAAAAATTGCTGTTCTTCTGTTTTTATTATCATTATCATCTTCATGGTGTTGGAGGAAGAAGAAGAAGGTAAATAGAGAATCTCATTTTGATGATGATTTGGCTTAAATAAGATTAAGGTAGACATTTATAATTTGATTAAATCAGTTTCTTTCGTGAAAAAAAACATAAACCAAACAAAAGGTTACCTGGTTTTTGGGGAAAAGGTGAACTTTATTGTTGATAAACAAGTAAGTATTAAGTGAACTGAGAAGGGAAAAATCAATTACCATGAAAGAAACAAAGGAAGAAAAAATGAAACAGATGAGGAAGAGAGAAAAATGATGATGATGGGAAAAGCTTCTGGTTGGCCTAATATTAACAATGATTGAGTGTTATTCATTGAGTCAGGCAAAAATCCATAAATTATGCTTTAATAATTTACCACAAAAAAGGAGTTTATTTATATTACAATGGAAAAGGTAATTCAAGAATGAAGATAAAGATGCAAAGTAACATAACATTTGATCAAATCGCAACTTTTCAATGCAATACTTTTGAGACAAATTTTCAGCTCTTCAACATTTATGCTTCAAACTCAATAATTTATTCCTTTTCCAGTTGAAGGCATTTGTTTTAAGATGAAAAACGATTCATAACTTAAGATAAATTTCGGCTTTTGCTTCCATTCTTGTTGACTTTGGACAAGTTCACGATTCTTGGATCATCTACAAAGTGGGATCAGAAGCTTCTATCGTTAATTGTTTCATTTTTAAGCTCAATTTACGTCTCTTGTAGGCTGACAAGGCCATAAGCTTATCGACATCTTTCATTGGATACTCTGCTTTGACAGTCATATCGAGGTGAGTTATCAAAGGATAAAAGATCAGAAAATATTCAACACGAAACTTGATTCGAAAAATTTGCTCAACTCAAATTTTCTTTACAATTTTTATTTTAGATTTACTTTGCAAATTATTTTGCTCAGAACTTTCCTTTGAACTTTTCCTCGAAAACTGCTCTTCAATGCAAATATTGGATGGCAAGTTGAAATCGTTCAAGTTTGAGTGAAAAATTTGGACAACTTTTGCTTCTCAATGTAATCTTGTTCAATTAGGGAGTGTGAAATGTAAAATTATGGTTCCTGTGAAACATTTAATTTCAATGCAATTTATGTGTGATTAACGGCTTAACAAAATAAGATGTTGAGGAAAACGGAATCGTTAACTTTAACAGTTTAGAAACATTACGATTTGCAAATTTGGGTTTCATCTTATTGGTGAACGTTTTCAGAATATCCAATGATGATGAAGGAAAAGGCAAATTGTTAAAAGTATTTCAAATGAAATCTCAAGTAAACCATGAAAATTTAAAGTGTAACTTGATATCATTCAAAATGTTTCAGTTTGTATTATAAATTGTTAATGATGTCAAAAGCATTATTAAACACAATATTTCTCTGTTTTCATTTCTTTTCATATTTTTGTCGCGTTTCAATCTCATCATCATTTTTCATCTTCTCTCACCATCTTTCCTCTGTTCATCTTTTCCCAGTAAAAATAAAGACAAAATACGTGAACATTTTTCCATCTCTTTTCACCACACAATTACCTGATTGTTTCACCTGATGAAGGCAAAAAAAAGAATCTTCAATCATTTGTTTTTCTTGAGAAAAAAACAAACAAAAAGAAAATGTTGAAATGGATTTCTTCTCATTTCCATTTATTGGCTCAAGAGACTGCAAATCGATTGAGTTGATGGTGATCAATGAGCAAATTAACGTTAAAGTGTGAACAAATTTCAAATGCAAAGTGTCAAAATGATCAATGGAAAAGGTAATCATGAAAATTTCAATTCAAAAGACGATTCAACAATTTTCTAAACACAATCAAAGGTCAACTGAAGTCCAGTGAATTAACCAGAAAACCAGAAATGAGTAAAATGTTTGTATTTTGTGGGAATAGCTTTAAGATCTATTTTCAAGGGCGACACTCAAAATAGCCAAGCCAAAACAACCAAATGCAAAATAGCCAAAGGGTCAAAATAGCCAAATTCAAAACGGCCAAATATAATAGGCTTAAATAAGACAACACTAATCAGTTTAAATTTCGTAAAATAAGCAGTTTAAATTTCGTAAAATAAGACAGCCAAGCACATTCTTTTGAATGTAAAATCCTTTACTTTTGGTTTGGCTGTTTTGGGGGGAAACCGAGAAATTGATTACTAAAAGTGTGATTCTGTGATCAATGTTTAATGTGTTGATTGCATTCTGACAAAATCAAGATATGATGTTGAATCAAATTGACTTGATCAAATTGGGTTGAATGGGAAACTAATTTGACATGAAACTTGACTTGATCAAAGTTACCATTTTGAGCTTTATTAACACTGAATCAACAGAGAGACTTTAACCGATTCTCTACTCATAAAATGGCAACCAGTTGTTGAACCATTCAGGATTCATCTTTAATTTCAGGTTGCAATGTCTGAATGGAAAGTGAATCAACAAATTACGTTTAACAACACAGTTATGTTCACTTTACCTTTTATCAAATAATATATTATGAAACATGTTTTTGCTGGTCATCATTTGACGGTGAAAATAAGAGTAAACCAGAAAAACCTTTTTGATTGTTACCTTTTCCAGGTTAACATAAAAGTAACCATTTTTTCACTTTCCTCAACTAATATAATTAATTTTGATGGGTTAACAGAGTTGATCTGATATTTGCTTCTCAAGAGATTTCATTTAACATCTTCTTCTTCATCTTCATCTTGTATCTTCATCATCTTCTTGCTCTGGGTAACTCACAGCAGTTAAACAAATTACTGCAATGATTGTTGCTCCAGTAAATTGTATTATTTTGTTAGGTAAATGGCTTGCAACCAGAAATTGAGGAAACTTGATATTACCCAAATTTTGCATTTAATTTTACCTTTCTCTTTTGGTCAATATCAAAGTTTCATTTATAAAGGTCAATCATGTTTATCAGCTTGAAATGGTTCTCATGGGTACAACTGGGGTTGAACTTGAAAAGGGTTTCAAAATTGGTGAGTTGAGATGAAAACATCATCTCAATTGTTTTCCATCATTACATTAATTGTCATTATCAATGGCATTATTACACTTGGTTTTGATGAACATTTTTCTTACCATTATTATCATCGGCATCATTTGTCTCAACAATTTCACTTTTATTTTGATTACTTATTTTCAACCAATATCTCTAAAGGCTAATAAAATTGATTCTCATCTTTTCATTATTTTTTCAGGTATTTGCTACTTCTGTATTTACCAGTATCTTCATCCTCATCTTCACCAACTCGTCCCACTAATCATCATTAAGCTTCTTTCAACTTGATTATTACCATTATTACTGTTTACCCCTGGCTTCAATTGTAACTCAGACCAGATTAAATTTACTTATGAGAAGATTGAAATTTTTTTTTCTTCTCCGTTTTTCCTTCTTTCACTGTATTTTTTTATTCCAATCATTTGGCAGCAACAACAACCTCATGGGATCGATCAAAATGTTTCACGAAATTCATTACCTTATTTCCTTGAAGCAGTTTATTTAATTAAACATGGACAGTGTTAATCAATCAACTTTGCAACTCTTTTCTTTTTCCTTGTCTTGTTGTCTTTAGTAAATCAATAACCATGGATTTGGCTTAATATTTTATTCATCGAAATTGTAATCAAATTTTTGTTTACATATTTCAATATTTTTGCGTGGATTGCAATGATTTGTACCGATTCATTGATAGGTTAGAAGATTGATTTACTACTTTGAGTCGGTACGAATCATATCATACATGCTTAATCATCGTAAAATTTGTCTTTAGTTGAGCTTAATTTAAATTTGTCTTTTGTTTTAATCCTTTTTGGTTCGAGATGATGATGGCGATGGTTTCTTGAAATAACTTTGGATGAAGAAATTGCAGAAGAGAATGAAGTAGCTGAAATAAATGGAGAAACTGAATAAACTTTCTCCAGGAGTAATTTTACATGGTTGATCTGACATTTTCATTACGAGCGCATACGAGGCAACATAAAATCCAATCATCATTTGGGCGATTTGTAAAGTTGTGATTGAAACTGCAATTGGTTTAGGAATTCGAACTCGCATTGCTCTCAGAGCGTAATAAGAGTACATGAGAGAGTGAACGAAAAAGTTCATGGAACCAGTCCATCTGTTGATCGCCACCATTCCTGGGAAGTAAGTGAATACACAGATTACAGTCATTGCATGGTGATACCAATGGAGGAAGGAAAGTTTTTGTTTACGAAGAATGATGAATGCAGTGTCACCAAATTCAAAGACTTTGGACCAAACAAACAACCAGGACCAAAAGAGTACATTTTTATCTGATTTATATGAGTTATCACAGGCAGCACTATGGAAACCATCCTTATAAAGGGTTGATATTATCTCTGGAACCATGTAATATGAACCAGCAATTGAAAAAGCTCCAAGTAAACCACTCCAAATGGCCAATGGATAACGAAGATCGTAGGGTTTACGATTATTCATGTATATTAAACCCAAGCGAACAGCAAGCACATAAAAAGTAGCAAACCAAAAGCAAATGGACCAATTTTGTTGATGCCATTCAACCCAGGCTTTTTGGTCCCATTGACTTGGTGAAAACCATGATTGTAGTGATTTAGGATTGATTGATGAATTAGTCCACTTGGATCCAACAGTTTCAGTTGGTAGCAAAATATTAACACCACTGGTCATGATGGGTTCAGTACAATGTGTCACTAAGAGAGAAAAACAAAAATAAAAAATATATCTTGAAACCGTTTCTCATAAAATAAATATAAATTTATGACTGTTGATTAATGGTTTAAACTTGTTAAAAAAGACAACAAAGTGTAAAAATGGTTGAAATTGACACTCTGATGGTGAATATAATCCTTATGGTTGAACAGAATTATATTAACTGGTCGGTATAGCGAAAAACTCGGTCCTTCTTATCCCTTCATCCTGATCGACCTTCCAAATTCACGAACATAAATGTCGTTCTTTAGAAATGACAGGAACAGAGACAAAAAGTGAAAGTAAAGGAAGAGGAATCACAGAGCGAAAAAAGAAGCCAAAATGAAAGTGAAAAAGAGAGAAAATTGAAGGCAAGCAAAAATAAGGAAAGCCAGCAAAGTAGAGAAACCTTGAAGCTAAAGAGAAGAAAATGTTTAGCACTGTTTTTTCAAACGGAATTAAGGATAAATGATTGTTGCCAGGCTGACAGAACAATATAAATGTCTCAAACAAGCAAAATTTAATTGATAATAAACAAATGAAAGACCCACTCACTGTTTGTTGATGACAAAAAAATCAAACTAATATGGATTGTTGATCACAAGGTAAAAAGTTGACAATAAGTTACTAATTTAATAAGAAGAAGAAGAAGGTTGTTGGATGGTGAAAGACAAATGAAACATTGGTTATTGGGTTGGAAATGTACAAGCTTATTGAAAGATCTGGTGGTGAGTAAAGGTCTTCAAAATTTCCGTTGTTGGTTATAAAAACAAATCTCATCATTTGAACGATTAGTCAGCTAGGTTGACTCCCTTTAGGCTAGCTTTTGTCTCTCTCTAAAAATGGTCTCACCTCTAATTGGTTGAAAGTCAAAGCCCATCAATACCAATCCATGAACAATCAGATGTATATTAACAATTATTGTAAGATGAAACACAATAAGATTAATGGTGAACCAAAGTGAAAACGCGATATGATCAACTGATCATTCTTGTTTATCGATCATCATCATCATCGTTTGGTTTAATAATTGCGAAAGTGATGACTAAATAATTGTTATTTACTTGAAACTGATTGAAGGTCTGTAAAGGTTTACACGAATCTGGTTGAGGATGTTTAATCCTTAACCAGAGTCACTAATCTTTGTTTATCTGGTTTAACCCAAAACCCAAACGGATATTGCTTATTATGGCTTATTATGGATCATTTAAAGGTCACTAAATTATCACCTTGAGCGTTCATTTTTGGTTTGTTTGTTTGGTCAGTTTTACTTCAATTGTTGGTCAATTTTCAAATAAACACATGATTAAGTGGAATATTAAAGTTGAATGAAAGTGTTAAAACATACATTTTTAAATTTACCAGTTGAATAGACAATTTGAGGTACATTAACGTTGATATTAAATGTGATGAATCAATTGTTATTGTTTTTTCTGCTTTTCAAATCATTGGTCAGAAACTGTGTCATGATTCAGTTAATTGTTCAGGTCAATCATAAACTGTGTTCATTTTCATGTTTCATGTTATTTTCATTATTAGATCATCATTTTATTTTCTCAATTTTATTTACCATCTTTAAATAAACCAGTTAAAGCTTTACTTTGGCCTAAACTTTAATTAGACTGACATTTTGATTTGTGTTCAATTGACAAGAAATGATGAATCCATCAAATCATTAAACTGAATTAAAAGAATGGTTAAACCGGTAAAAGCTTTGATTAAACATTAAAGCAATAATTACTACATTAATCCACACTAACTGTGATATTTTTAAATATCCTTTTAATTAACAAGAAATGAAAATAATTTATCTAGTCTATTTTAACAGCACTTTGTGTATTTTCACTTCAAATGCTCTTCATATAGTAAAACATTGAAACATATGGTTAACCTCATTGAAATGGTTTCTTAAGTAGACTCTATTTTTGCTCAATGCCTTTTTAATTAACTGTACGTTTGTTTAAATACTTTAGTTTATTCATTGTTATTTCCTGGTTTCACATCAGTACGGACCATTTCGAGGTAACCTTATCTTCATCATGTTACAGTGATTAACCTTGAATAACAAACTTATACTTTCACCGGAAAATGTGCTTCTTGTTTGAATCTCAAGCTTTAACTCAATTTAAGATTCATCTTTACTGTCAAGTATCTTCCTAATCTCAATGACTTGAAGGTTTACCTTATTGATTAATTAATTATCTATCTAGTCTCATCGATTCAACTTTAACAATCTATCTCGTTTGCCGTTTGAATTGTTACCCCGTGACAAATTTTTATCATATAATGCCATAAAATGAAATGTTCATCAACATCATTGACATTTTTAATATGGTGTAATCCTATTTAGTAACTGCCAATCAACTTTATGTTAGCCTAATGCTGTTGTGCGTCCGTGGCTGGAAAATTAAACCAACTTTTCCGTTTGTCAGGTAAATATGAACTCTTAAGGTACATTTGTACTGACTAAATCTGTTGTTATGTTTTAATGGTCCGATGAAATGTCTGAATTGTCTCTCACATCATAAACACTGTTTAACTGTCATTTGATTTGATGAATTATAAGTTTGTTATTTGAACTGAGTTAATCGTTAATTTCTTGATTAGACAAGATTAAAGATAAATATCCTCTTATAGTTCACTTTCTTTATTCTTTCATTTCAAGCATCATTATTTTTTTTCTTTATTCTTTCATTATTTCTATGTAACTCATCTAATTTTTTCTTCTTATTCCGTTTCTAATTATTCATCTTTATTAGGTGTTTAAATGACCAAATGATGGATTTCGAGACAAAGTCAAACAACCAAATGCTTCTCAATGGGAATGCGAAAATTGCCAATGGACTGACAAATTCAAATCAAAGTTACAAGGAAACTTTGTCCAAGCTGATGGAATATGACAGCAACTTTTCTGTTTTGAAAAAGATTAATCCTGCTAATACTAAAGATGCAAGACAGAAGCTCAATTTAATCACTGAACTTTTGAAGCGACTCGATATTGAATTGGATGATTTGAACAATCTCAATATTATTCATATTGCTGGAACTAAAGGCAAAGGCTCAACATGTGCCTACATTGAATCCATTTTAAATGAGCGAGGATACAAAACTGGTCTCTATACATCACCACACGTGGTATCGGTTCGAGAAAGAATTAGATTATCTGGACGACCAGTTTCAGTTGATGTTTTTGTCAAGTATTTTTGGGAAGTGACTTCTAAACTTGCTGATGTCGATAAACCTGGGTACTTCATGTTTTTAACGATTCTTTCATTTTATATATTCTCCAAAGAGAAAGTTGATGTTGCTATTGTTGAGGCCGGTATTGGTGGTGAATTTGACTGTACAAATATTGTTCCAAAACCAGTTGTTACAGGCATAACATCACTTGGCATTGATCATACTTCTGTTTTGGGTGATACTTTGGAATCTATCGCATGGCACAAGGCTGGCATAATTAAACCTAATGTTGTTTGTTTCACATCTTCTCAGCCTGAACCAGCTATGCAGGTTATTCACAATCGATCAGTTGAAAAAGACACTGAAGTTATAATTTGTCCACGAATGGAAAACTATGAAAACCTTACACCGTACAAAATTAATTTAGGTATTGATGGTCACGTTCAAAGGGTCAATGCCTCTCTTGCTTTACAAATATCTCGATATTTTCATTTGAAGATGACTTCTGCGGAGATCAATCGAAAACAATTGATAACATTGGGTAAAGGATTCGCTCTGGACAAAGAAGAAGCTTCAGGATTAGTGAAAACAAATTGGCCTGGAAGATGTCAATTAATTACCAAAGGAAGAGTTAATTATTTCCTAGATGGAGCGCATACTGTTGAAAGTTTAGATAATTGCTGTAATTGGTTTAAACAAAAATCATACCTTCAATCATCGAATGAAAAAATAATCCGCATTTTGTTCTTTTTTTCGGCCGGTCTCCGCCAATATGAACCATTAATTCAAAGAGTTGCTCAGGAATCGTTTGATGTCGCTATTTTTCCTTCAAATTATATTGAAAATATCGAAATTTATCCTGAAATGATGCCGGACTCTCGATTTGAAATTGATAAGATCTCTGATAGAATTAACAAAACAAGAGAAATGTGGCAAGCAATTCAAAAAGACCTCAACAGAAATCCTGATAATTTTCACCAATTTTCCAGCTTAAATAAAGCTTTAAATTTCCTGGATTCAAATGAATTGATTGAAAAATATGGAGTTCAAGATGATTACAAGCTCCATGTTCTAGTCACTGGCAGTCTACTTTTTGTTGGAAATGTCTTAGCACTTATAAATCCCGATCCATCATGTTGAAGACATGAATCAATGGTTGGACAATTTTTCATTGAGACTGTAAATGTCATAATTTAAATTTCTTTACTCAATGGCTGTGATTTTTGTAAAACCCATCCTATTTCCCAGATGAATTCATAATCAAAGATTTTGTAAATGATAGGAATTTAAATACAATCATGATTTGGTAGCAAAATTGATCTTTGATCACTAATGATTTTTTAGTGATACTAGAACGTAAACATGGAACTCCCAAAAGAGTATACATCTAGTATTAGTAGAGTTACATTTTTTCAAACTTACGCTTTACCATGGATCAAAGGAGAATATTTTTATTATGTATTTCTAATATAATTTTGTATTCAAGTATTGTTGCCTTAGCTGCTATTACCGATGAAAATTCCACTGAAATTGGACCAATTCTTACATCTACTGTCGTTTCGTGTCCAGTTATTTCTAGCAAGTTGGATTCATGTTTCAATAAAGCCTTCAACTCATGGACCATTGATGATGACTATTTAAAGCGCAATTGCTGTTCATCTTTTATGGTGTTTAACTGTTTGAAGCCAATCGTTAAAGACAATTGTGAAACTGCCATTTACCAGCATTTCCTGAACAGTTCTAAACATTATCAAGATAATCTTAAATCTAGTTCATGTTCTGATGAAAAATTTATCTGGAACTGTGAAATAACCATTCCATTTTATTGGATTATAATCGTTGGTGTCATTTTTGTGATGCTAATAATAATCACTCTCTCTGCTATTGCCTGCCTTATTTGTACTAAAAGACGTCGATGTAAACCATTATCAAGAGGTCCTTTTGAATTGAGATCGGATTCATTTGTAATCCTGTCCTTTGTGTAGCCAATCTAAATTATATTCATTGAGAATATCTTTCAAATGAACTGAAACAATCAATAAGTTAAATAATAATTAATACATATCAACAAGAAACTACTCATTTCAAGCTTCAAAAACACTTTACAAAGTGTGATCTAAATTTCATTCATAACAATTTTTTGATCATCTTTATTGAATTGATCAAATATTCCAGGCAATTAAACTCTATTTTAGGAATTGTAAAAATGTTTTTATCTCTGTAGTCATTAATTATTCATTTTCATTTAACGCGCCTTCCATATTTGTTCAACATACGAAACAATCAAGATAATCACCTTGACTAACAATAGTCTTGTAACAACTGATAAACATGTTTTCAAAACTGTGAAATATTAATTTTTAGATAAAAGTTGAGCAAGTCGAAAATTATTACAGTTAAAGTCAATCATTGTTGAATTTAATGACTCAAATAATAACATATATGCATGCTTGCGGATTCCACTGTGTCGGAATGTTCGTAGATTTGTTTTCTCATTTGATCAATATTTATAGCGATCGATTGTGATCCAAACGAAACGCAAGTTTGTCAACATGTTTATCAGTGTTTGTTAGTTGAGAGATATTCTCGATGAATGCAATTTGGATTGGCTACACAACGGATAGGATTACAAATGAATCCGATCTCAATTCGTAAGGACCTCTTGATAATGGTTTACATCGTCGTCTTTTAGTACAAATAATGCAAATGAGGCAGGAAATAGCAGAAAGAGTGATTATGATTTACATGACAAAAATGGCATCAACGATTTATGAGATTACCATATCGACGTACATATCGGCAAACAAACACACACAAACACAGAGGAATCAGGGACTTGGGCTGTTGTTTGAGACGCTAAATTAAACAACCATTGACCGGTTTACCTGTAATAATTTTAGTTTTTGAGCTTCCTCAACTTGCATCCGAAAAGCAGAACTATTGAGTGACTACTGTCTAAAAAGCAAGAATTTTATCGAAAGGCTTTCTTTTGTTTAATTTAAACAGGTTTTTATCTCACTTGAACAATGGTTGTGAGCACATTCGCTAATATTTGAAAGATTGCGCTTAAAATTGATACTTATTTCAAACAACAAATTACTGACAATGAGCAAGTTAAGCTAATCTGATTTCATTTAGGACAGGCGACACCATTGCTTACAATTCTCAGTTTAACAATGACCTTTATCAGAAGTGAAAAATGAATTTCAAGCTTAAAATATTGACTGTAAATTTTCATTGCGATCGTCTGATTGTCGTCTTCTAATAAGTTTCAAGTTTCATAATGTTAGTGAAGCAAAAGCTAAATAAAAGAAATTAAATCCACTCCAATTTTTCGTTTTCTCCAAGTTTTGTTATAATTTTATCATCTGTTTTCTCAATGAAATCGGATAAATATGTCAAGATTTTTCTTCTATTTAAAGTAGCTTGTTTTCAATTTAATATTCAAATCTATCTCAACTTTCAATTAGTAAACCAACTCTTGTTACCTGTGAAGAAAAAGATTGTTACAAAAATGAAATTCTTCATGTTAACTGTCTGCCTTTTTGGAACTGTATTTGCTAAGAGTCTTTCTACAGAATGGACACCGCTCCCTAGCGATGATCCAACTGTTGTAAAGTTTGCTAACCTAGCCGTTGCTGATATCAATGGAAAGGAAAAATTGTTTTATAATAAACTGATCCAGATTAAAGAAGCTAAATCTAGTAAAGCTAAATTTTATGTGTTCAAAGTGATCGTAGGAAAAACTGATTGTCCCATACGTGGACCGTACACTGATGCTTGTCAAATCAAGGATGATGTAAGTTTTAACATCATTTGAAATATATTTAAACACAATGACCAAACTATTGAGATATGATATTCATTCATTTTCTTGTTCACAGGCACCTCGTAAAGAATGCTCTGTTTATTACTATTATAATACTGTAGAATGGAAGCATGGCACATACACTTGTGATGAACTTAAATCTTCATGAAAAATGATTTGTCCAAATTTTCTTGGTAAATGTGATTGAAGTACATGATTCGGAAAAAGCGAAATTTGCGATTTAAGATAAGCAGATTTCAAAACAAATTCGTAAGCATTTTGATTGAGTTGAATAAAGCCGTTTTTTGATAATTTCAATTTGATTAATCCAGCTTGCACTTTTTGTAATTAGTCAACAAGCCTTTTACAGCTGTTTCTATTTGTTTTTCGCGATACTGAAAAATAAGAATCACTATCAATTAGTATTATCAAGTATTTAATGAGTTCAATTAAAGCATTGATCTGGTTCGTGGGCCAAAAGAGTTCTAGAACTGAAAGCTCAATTTTTCTCGATTCTGTTAGTTGCCTGATAATTTCATCAAATTGTATTTCATCGTCATGTAAATTGTTTTATTTCATCAAATTTCTTGATATGGAGTATTATCGACAGGCAAAGTATCGATACTTTTACTCAGAAAAAAATATCAATGAAATTAAAGAGCAAAGTAATAAGAGACTTCACGGAATCATTTCAGCTTCAATTTGAGATTGATTTCTAATGTTCAAAATAAGAAGGCGCTTGTAGGGCGAAAAAAATTGAAACCGTACATCAAATTAACTGAGAAAATTCAATATTCAAAAAGCACTTTGCATTTTCAAATTATTTATTGATTGAACTTATTTGAAAGATATTCTCAATGAATATAATTTAGATTGGCTACACAAAGGATAGGATTACAAAGGAATCCGATCTCAATTCAAAAGGGCCTCTTGATAATGATTTACATCGTCGTCTTTTAGTACAAATAAGGCAGGCAATAGCAGAGAGAGTGATTATGATTAGCATCACAAAAATGACACCAACCATTATGGAACAGTGCTTCTTAGCGAATCGGATACACTTAAAAGCACAAAGAAGTCCGAAAGTAGGCAAATGGGCTAACAATTGAGACGCCAAGTTAAACAATGATTGGCCGGTTTATCTGTAATAATTGGCTGAGCTTCATCAACTTGCATCTGAAAAGCATAACTGTTGACTAATGTCTGGAAAAGCAAGAATTTCATTGAAAAAGTTTTCTTTTGAATAATTTAAACAGATTTTTATTACACTTGGACAATGGTCGTGAGCAAATTTATTAATTTAATATTCGGAAGATCTGATTTGAAGATTGATACTTATTTTGAACAGCAAATCACTGGCAATGATGATATTAAGCTAGTCTGATTTAATGTCACACCAATGTCTTACAATTGTTCGTTTATTAGGTGTGAGAATAAGTTCCCGGCCTTTTTCGAAGAGGGTTTCAGTTCGATTGGTTCTTGTATTCAGAGACCTTTGAATGTTAATAACAATGAATTTCAATCTTAAAATACTGACTATAAATACCCATTGCGATCATCTGATTGCCATCTTCTAATAAGTTTCAAGTTTCATGATCTTGATTAAGAAAAATTTAAATCAAAGAAATTTAATCCATTTCAATTTTTCGTTTTCTCCAAGTTTGGTTACAATTTTATCAACTGTTTTCTCAATGAAATCGACTAGCAATCACGTCGATAACTAATGTCAAGCTCTTTTCCTTTTCCATTTTTTGTCTATTTGAACTAGTTTTCTTCAATTTAATATTAAATCTATTTCAACTTTCAATTAGCAAACCAACTCTTTTTACCTGTGAAGAAAGTGATTGTTTCAAGAATGAAATTCTTCATCTTAACTGTCTGCCTTTTTGGAACTGTATTTTCTGTAACTCTTCTCGGACCATGGACACCGCTCCCTGTTGATGATCCAAGTGTTATAAAGTTAGCTAAACAAGCCGTTGTTGATATCAATGCACATGACAAGAGTTTGTATTACAATAAACTGATCGAGATCAGAGAAGCTAAATCTAGAGTTGCCGATAAAATTGAATATGAGCTTAAATTGGTCATACGAATAACTGATTGTCCCAAATCTAAACCGTACACTGATGCATGTCAAATCAACCAAGATGTAAGTTTTAACATCATTCAAATACATTTAACCACAATGACCAAGCTATTGAGATTTGTTATTCATTTATTTTCTTGTTCGCAGTTGCCTCCTAAACTATGCACGTATGAGTTATTTGTACGTGCTGGTTCTAAAAACAAATTCACTACGTTACAGTGTGATGAACTTAAATCTGCATGAAAAATGATTTATGCAATTTTTCTTGGTAAATGCGATTCAAGTACATGATATGGAAAAGGCGAAATTTGCGATTTAAGATTAACAAATTTCGAAACAAATTTGTAAGCATTTTGATTGAGTTGATTTGAATAAATCCGTTCTCTGATAGACTTGCTTTTATCAATATTGGTTGGTCTTAATTTCAATTTCATCAATTATTTTTGCACTTTCTGTAATTAGTCAACAAGCCTTTTACAGCTGTTTCTATTAGTTTTTCGCGATATTGAAAAATAAGAATCACTATCAATCATAAAGGTATCAAGTATTTAATGAGTTCAATTAAAGCATGGATCTGGTTCGTGGGTCACAAGCGTTTCTACAAGGTCTTAGGGATGTTTTCAAACAAACTTGATCTATCTCTTAACAAAAGGGCTGATGAACTAGGTAAAAGAGGGTTATAATATCTACTCTTTACATCTTTAGTCATCGATTGAAGTTTGAAAAAGTTGCTTAATTGAATATGCCAAAATTAATTAGCGAAATGGTGCGGGAAAAATTTTAGCTTCTTGCGGCTGAAAGAATCGTTTACAGAGTAATATTAAAACGGCTCAGGCTGAAGAATGTTAAATAACTTTTATACATAAAGAGGACAATTAAGTCTCCTGATGATAGTCCACTCGACTTTCGTTGTGTTTGGATACTTACAGCAGAAACGCAAACAGCGGAGAGTCATCATTAGGTGACTTACAGCAAAAACGCAAGCGATTTCTGGCTGCAAATTGATCGTGAAATGGTCTTGAGATATTTTGAATCTTGGCACAAAAGACTTTTTATGATGGAGTATACAAGGCAATCATATTGAACACAAAAAAAGAATAGATAGAATTGAATTAAGCAAAAAAGTTAATTTTTTCAGTTTGAAACATCCCTAAGACCCTGTAGATACAACTAAAAGCTCACTTTTTCTTGATTCTGTTAATTGCCTGATAATTTCATCAAATTGTATTTTTGTGGTATCGAGAATCGACTGGCAAAGTATCGATACTTTTACTCAGAAAAAAAGATCGGTTATTTCAAACAGCAAATCACTGACAATGAGCAAGTTAATCTGATTTCATTTTGGACAGGCAACACCATTGCTTATAATTGTCAGTTTAACTATGAATATTCGGAAAAATGAATTTCCAGCTCAAAATGCTGACTATAAATTTCCATTGCGATCTTCTGATTGTCGTCTTCTACTAATAAGTTTCAAGTTTCATAATGTTGGTAAAGCAAAATTTAAATAAAAGAAAGGACAACAGCCAAATCGGCCCAAAATTTGCCCTGGCGTTTCTTCAAAACCCTATGAAGGTCGCATCAGACCTAGTACATATTGTTCACCGCCTTAAATACTATTAGGAAAGTCCAAAAATAATTATCCAAATGTGCGGTTTTAGATTATTTAGGTTTTAACTCCGTTTGTCAATATTTTCCTATTGAATAAATGTTCAAAGCTATTAAGTTTCTTTTTAAGCAATTTTTTTATGATAATTCACAAGATACTGAGCTAGGCCGGATTCACTAGGTCAGATTTAGCAAGTCAGATGTTACCTTTTGAGGGTTTAAAACAAACTTA